AATATCAATTTTAAAATTTACTATAAAAGGATTCTATATTTCAAATTAATTTAATACTATTCTGTTAATTTTGTTAAACTTTTGCTAACCGGTTTATTTCTTTTTCACAGGATTTTGAATCAAGAATAAAAAGAATAATTTCGTGCAGGAAAAATATTTAAATCGAAAAATTGTAAAACAAGTTTTTGAGAAAACATTTTGATAATCTGCGTTTCAAAGGAAAAGAAGAATGAAGATCATAAGTGTGGTCTTTAAAACATGATGAATTTGGCAATTCAAATTTGACATTTGACACTTAATAATCATGAATCACTTTTTGGGGAGACACCCATTTTTTGAGATTATGATCTAAGTAACTCTCAATGTTAAGAGGTCAGGAAAAGGTACCCCACTCGAAGAACTAGTTTCGTAACATCTATCCGCATGGCAGTGTGGTGATAATAATTTATAATTTCACGAATGATGAACGAAATATATATTCAAATTTAATATTAACCCCAAGCTCAGTTGCAAAAGGGGTTCAACTGACTTTTTATGACAAGTGTAACGTACACATTTCAGACAGTCGCCTGGAGGTAATGAATTATTCCAAAAAAAAGTGAAGAATACTGGTTATGTATTTTTTCGAGACTCGCTTTTTTTTGCATCGCATGATTCTACGGATTCGTTCAACTGCATAATTTGTATCTTTCACGAGTTAATTCTAATGTAAATAAAACTGACAAAGGTTTGTCAGTCAATGTGTGTTCACATCTGTGACAAAATCGCAAAATTAATATCAATTTTTTGACACATCGCTGAAGGAAAAAGAAAATAAGAAACAGAAAAGTTTTTGCTCGCCAATATAAAGAAAAAAGAAAGAATATCCGAATTTCTTTTGGTAAAAATTTGAATACGTTTTTTCAAAAATATTCAGGGTTGCCACGCAACCTGAAAACCTGAAAATGTCAGGGAATTTTATAAACATTGAAATTTTTATAAATTTCTTCAGAATGATTCAATTATATTTGATAAATAATCAAATTTTTTAAAGAGTTTCAATTATTTTCATAAATAATAAAACTCATTGCAGAATTTCAATTATTTTTAATACAATTTTAAAGGAATTTCTCGAAAAATGTATTATTCTTAATTTTATTAAAATTTATCAAAGAAATTTAATTTCTTGAAAGAATTAAATTATATTCAGAAATTTTAATCAAATTTTTTTTTAACAATTCAATTTTTTTCAAAATAATTTTAATCAAGTTCTACGTAGAAATTTAATGAATTTCAATAATTTATCGAAATTCAATTATTTTCAATATCTACTATTTCAAAAAAATTTCACAAAAGAATTCAATTGATTAGAAAGATTTTAATAAAATTCGTCTCAAGAATTAAATTATTTTTCAAATTAATAAAATTCTTCCCCAAAATTTAATTATGGTCAAAAGTTTAAAAAAATTCTCTTCAAAATTTCAATTATTTTTATAAATATTAAAATTTTTCTTCAAAATTTAATTATTTTTAGAAATAAATTATAATTTTAATAAAATTTTTGTCAAAATTTCAATTATTTTCAAAAACTTTTCTCAATTCAGTCAAATTTTTTACAGAGATTCAATTATTTTTAATACAATTTTAATCTAATTTCTCGAAAATTAAAATTTTAATTACCTATTTAAAAATTTGTTGATAAAATTCTTTATTTGACTTCAATTTTAAAAAATCATTCAATTCTTCAATAAATTGATATTTGAAAAATAAATGATCATGGAAGGATTTAAATCTACTCAATCTTCAATAAATTATTTATTTTTGTATTTAAATAATTGAATTCTCGTAAAATTTTCTAATAAAAATCGATTTAAATATGAATTTCAGTTAAAATTATAGATAAGCAGATTTTACTAATAAATAGTCGTTTCTACTAATTTAATAATTTAATAAATTTCAAATTATAATTTTTAATTGTTTGAATTTTTCATACTTTTAACTAAAAATAGTGTAGAATTGTAAGCAAAAGGATTTGAAAATTTTCAAATAAATTTTTCAAAAATTATTAAAAATAATAAATTTAAAGAAGAATTTTAGTTTAAAATTCTGGAAAACAATAATTAAATCATAGTGATGAAAGTAATTTTGAATAAGTTACAATAACAATATTTTTATAATATAAAATAATGATTTTATCAGTCGGTCATTTTTAATTATGATAAAACATGAAGATCTTGATTGCTCCGAGCCGAAGACTCGGAGTGATCGATTTCTTCATGTTTTATAACAATTTATTATAAGTTATTTAATTTCAAAAAGGTAAAATTTTGTAAAATATAAATAAGCGTGGCAACCCTGATAGTTAATAAAAAATCTAATTATATATTTCTCGTTTCAGGCAATCAAACTGCGAGGATAATTAAAAAAAACTATTATACAATTTCTTGTCTTTTAAGTAAAAATAATAGTGACATACCTTTTCATGACACCTCATCTGTCATGATGAGCAAGCTCGTCTGAGTGTCATTAAGCTTCATTTACAATCCACACCTGATTACAATATCGCCTTATGCATAAGTTGAGAAAAAAGCCGCTAACGATGCTCTGAGCCAGGGAATAAAAAAAAAACTACTTAACATCACAGGGTTGCGTCCCATATCCCCTTTTGCAATCGCTCATGATTTCTCCACGTTTTTGCTCATCAATTTAAATCCATTTTTTTCCATCCTCTCTTCAACAATGCACATAAGGAATCTCTCAAGAGTTGCAGGAGAGAGAGAGAAAAAAAATTCCTCTCTCAACCCCTTCGCAAACATAATTTTCATTATCATTGAAATTTCTCGTCTGAAAAAGAAAATTTTTGCAAAAATGTATTCAAATTTTACAATTGAAAATAATAGGTAGCAAACAAAATTACATTCAAGTTTTCAAAGAAATCAATCAAATGTTGATCGACAAGATTTTAACGTTTATGGAACGAAATATTTTCTATTATAAATATTTTCATAAATTTTCGATTGCAAATAATTGAAAACTTAAATTATACTTTAAATTTTGAAGTTTTTGAAACTTTGTAATTAATTTTTTTGATAATGCTTCAAAATTATGGCAATAAAAATATATGCAACAATAGGTTTTAAACCTTCAATTGAAGTTTCATTAATGATTGCAATAAAAATTAAAAAATTAAATTTTACGTTCAGAAACTCTGTAATTAATTTTTTCGATAGTGTCACGAAATTGTTACTTTGAATTGATAAGTTTCATTCTTTTGAACGTTCAACTGAACGAAATATTTCTAATTAAAAATATTTTCAAAAATTATTGATTGAAACTTAAGAATAAGTTTTGAACTTTCAATTGAATGAAACATTTTTAAGAATTATTAATTACAATGAAAATTTAAAACTTAAATTTTACGCATTTAGAAACTTCAAAATTAATGTTTTTTTTGTCACAAAATTATTACAATAAAAATATAATTTTAAGCAGAAATAAATAAATTTCGTTTATTTGAACGTTCAGAACTTAAGGTTCTCTTTATTAAAAATATTTCCAAAAATTATTGATTGCAATAAGAATTGAAAACTTAAAATTTACATTTAAAAACTTTGTAATTAATTTTTTTGTTAGTGTTTCAAAATTATTGCAATGAAAATATATTCAACAATAAGTTTTGAACGTTCAATTGAAGGAAATATTTTTTATTAATAATATTTTCAAAAATTATTGCTTGCATTAAAAATTGAAAACTTAAAATTTACATTTAGAAACTTTGTAATTAATTTTTTTTTGATAGTGTTTCAAAATTATTGCAATAAAAATTTAAAAATGAAATTTTACGTTTAGAACTTAAGATTATTATCAAATGTATTAAATAATTAGAAAATCGATCTAAATATTATTATTCTTATTTGAATGAAATATTGTAATAAACTCAGACTGTAATTAGAAAATTTTGAATTTCTTTCCAATAAATTTTTTTTTGTCATCAAATATTTGTAAATAATTTCAAACCTTAAGAACTACAGAAAAAAGTTATAAAATTTTCTTGCTTTAAAAAAAAATATTTTCAAGTCTGTAAAATCAAGACCAAAGTCGATTAAATCAAGATTGTTGAATCGTCTGTTCAAGAGCGATAATCCACAACTGTAAACCATATCACTTTGTAAAATTCAAATTCGCTACACTATTCCAAAAAGTAGATTTGAATAGAATATAGAACAGAAGTGCGTCATAAAAAAAACCATAATACTCGTATAAATCAAAAACAGGTCAAGATTGTTCTCGATGAAGATTTCATGTATACGAGTCTCATAAAACATCCCGCATACGTGACGAATTTAATATTTATACAATATTTTATGTTCGAGCGATATATAAACTAACAATTGCGATTCTTAAAGAATTAAGGGCGCTTCTCATAATGGGAGAAGAAAAAAAGGGCAAAAAAATATCACTACTTTGTAGTAGAATTCTATTTTTTTAATGGCCAAAAATTTTGTTTTCAATGGGAACTATTCGACAGTTATCCCTTCCTGTTATATTCACGTTCATTTGAAAGAAGATCGCTCATATGAAAATATAAAAGATGGGACAAATTTTATGATACATTTTATTAGCAAGATGAAGACTTTGTATCAAAAAGTCATTTAAAAAACGAGACGCGAACAGATGATACATACAAAATAAAAGACTTGACGATCGTTTTAAATAAAGACGATTGCAGGGGATTTTTTTTTAATAGGCACATGCCTTTTGTAAATTTTTAAATCATAAATTTCAATTAGTATACAAAGTGTGTGACGTGTTGCAAATGTAAAAATTCAGTCTGAAACGTTAATAATTCCAGAATTAAAATAATCAAAAGCGATTTACGAATTACGTATAGTTATTTTTTTTAATAAGTAAAAATTCATATGTTTCAAATTTTGTTCTTTCAAACAATTTTAAAAAATCAAAATAACGGAGCAAAAACCTTTTCAATGATTATTTTCTAGAATTAATAATTATACAATAACTCAGTTATGAACTAAATGTTTAATAATTTATAGAAATTTTACATTATTATTAAATTTCTTCTCAATTTTCAATATAGAGATAAATTATCACAGAATAACTTAATTAAAATGCTTTCGGATATGACGAGATAAGTTTTCCTGGTCTTCTCAGACATTACTCGGAGGGGTTTCTTGAGTGGCTGGAAAAAATTAATTATGTTATTATTAATTATACACAAAAAGGTCTGAGTAATGGAATATTTTTTTTAATGAAGCACTGAAAACAGTGAATTATTTGATTCAAATAATCGATTACTTTGCTGTTATCAAATAAGTATTTACTTGAATCAAATAATTTTTATTTGAGTGAAATAAATTCTGTTTGAACCAATAATTTCAGTACTTGAATGAAATTAATTGTATTTTAACCAATATATTCTGTATTTGAATAAAATAAATTGTATTTGAACCAATAATTTCAGTATTTGAATGAAATAAATATTGTATTCGAACTTCGAACCAATAATTTCAGTATTTCAATGAAATGAATTGTATTTGAACCAATAATTTCAGTATTTGAATGAAATAAATATTGTATTCGAACTTCGAACCAATAATTTCAGTATTTCAATTAAATGAATTGTATTTGAACCAATAATTTCAGTATTTAAATGAAATAAATTGTATTTGAACCAATAATTTCAGTATTTAAAGCAAATACAGTTTTCAATAATTAAAAAAATTAATCAAATAGCATTTAATTGATTTAAATATACCAAATTATTTGATTCAAGTAAATATTCATTTGATAATCGAGAAGAAATCGTTTATTTTAATCAAATAAATTTTCTTTTCAGAGAGTAAAAAATAAATTTAATACCTTTATACGAATATTCTAATGCCGTTGCAATTGTTCGCATATCGCCTTCAATACTACGTGCCCAATTTTCAACATCTCCTATTTCCTTCAAAGCACTCGAAAACGATTCAACCAGATTTAACCACGATTGAGTTTGTTTTGCAAAATTTGTTGCACTCGTTTGAAGTTGTTTTGCTTCAGCATCTAGTTTCTTTTGATTTAAATATGCCTGTGCAACTCTGAAACCATTAAATATTTTAGTAATAGAAGACAATTGTTACGACAATATTATTATTTTAGAGATATATAAATATTAGGGGATTAATTAGAATTTACAGAATTAAAAAAAAAAAATAAACTAACCCCACATTTAAATGATCAACCAATGCTTGAGTTAAATTATTTGCAGCTTGAACGGCTTCTTTTCGTTTTTGTTCTATAAATAAAAATACAGTTATAAACATTTCGTAATTTGTTTAGAAACAAATAGTTTGTTTGTAAATGAGAAAATTGCTGTAAAAATTAATCTTAATATTTCTTACCTTGTCTTTCTTTTCTTGCTGCCTGTTTACTTTGATGTTCTTTCACTATTGACGATAACATTATACTTCATTAATATTAACACAATTCGATAATTAATTATTTATAATATTTTAATTAACAAATTAACAATCTGTCTTCTGTTATTATGTTTTTGACACTTATCAGCTGATGCCAAATCTAACCTCAAAACGACACACTGAAACAATACAGATGTCGCTTCAGTATTTTGTAGCGGCAAATTTAAAAATTTGGTTGAAATAATTTATCTATTTCCTTAATTGGTTTTTTTATATAAATAATGCAAATAACAATTTTTAAATATTTAGATCTTTTATTTATGCACTCCGTAATGTAATGACAATTTTATAATTTAAAAATTATGTTATTTATACAATTTGCAATAAATAATGTTTTTAATAATAAATACATAAATATTATAAATATAAATAAAGAGTAAAAAGAAATAAAAATAGAGTAAAAATAAATAATAATATATAACAATAGAAACATAACTAAAAAATATATAAATACATGTTTATTATAAACAAAATAAATTATAATTTGATAAAATTAATAGTTAATTTTTTAATTAATTTATTATTAAATAAAAAATAATATATTTTGTGTCTCTATAATTTATAGTTGCCAATGTTAATTTTATATATTTATTTTTTGAATAATTAATATACAAGAATATTTATTTTTTACAGTGGTTTTAATATTTATTTTTACACTTGGAATAAATATTCATTATCTGTGAAATATTATGAATTCGAATCAAAACGAAATAAATATAATAAATATACTTACCTTTCTTGAACTTTAGTAAGCAAATAAAAAAAAATTTCAAACGAAAAAATAATTCATTTCTTTTGATAATCTCCATCCTGCTAAAATTAAAATGTAATTAAACAATTCTAAAGCTAAAATAAAAAATGCCATTGTTTGCTATAACCAAATAAGATTTTATTGAAGATTTAGTAAAAACAGATAAATTCAATAATAATTAAGATGTTTCAATTACGCCACTATAATCGAAATATGGAGGTAGGATGGTGGAGGGATGAGGTGAGGATAAGAAACTATGGAACATTTTTATTTTCTTATTTTTTTTTAGCAGAAAGCTATTCACCGGTGATAGGTATATAAAATTATCGGAGAAAGAATATGATCATTATAAATTTGCGAGCACTATTAAAACTCACCCCTGTTTATTGAAAGAAGAAGCAGAAAAAAAACATGAACTTAATTTAAAAAAAAATAATTCAATTCCGACGTTTTTTTCTTGAAAATTTTCATATAAATGTTCGATCTGTTTCACCCCCAAACCACTGACTTGTCCGGCTTAGGGGCTCGTTGCCCAACGATATTTTCTTATATTTTCTTGAAGTTTTTTTGCATTATTATTGCACTCGTAGTTCTTCAAATGCTTGAGACAATATATTTTCAGCCGCAAAATGAATGGGATTGGATCATATTCTTTGTCACAAGCGCGAAAAACCTTCGTTTCTTGAATGAGAAACATCTTGAGAGAGAAATCTTGTCTTCGATTTTTTCTTTGCAAAATTTTCATACTTTTCAGAGTGAAACTTCAAACTTCCCTCTATCATCCAATACCTCTTGATTCAAAACCTTATAAACAAACAAACATGTTAGAGAACGTACATTTTATTTTCTGCATTTTCATTTGTTTATTTATCGCTTTAAATAATTTAATATTATTATGATTTTGTTTTTTTTTTTTGCTTTTTTTTAATATATCAATATCAATTTTTTAGGTACTTTTTAAAGGGTTGTTGAAAATAAACATTTACAAAAAAGAGAATCAGTACCCAACTAAATTAATTTGACTGGAATACAAAAGTGAAGCAGAAAACTATTTTTTAGGAAGCAAGAGAAGACAAAAAAAGCAATCAAAATTGTATTCCAACCTTTACATCGTGGTTTTCATTTTACGTTTACAATATCACAAGCCTTATTTTCAAACTCGCAAAGTTTTCAAAATTTTTTATGAATGAACATAAGGCTTTAACATCCATTCTAACCTTCCTATTTTTAGTGCCAGAAAAAAATTCTTTCTTGTTCCCATATTTTTTGTTTTGTTTTCTATTTGTCAATTAATTGAAAAAAGTTACTTTTCTTTTTGGAAAAAGTATTAAATATCATGCTAATAAACATAAAGTACACTATGCACCATAAAGTAGGTAAGGTGAGAATAGCGACAATTTTAAATGTAGTTATTTGAACGTTTTTGACCCTTATAATATAGTTAGAAGAAAAAGGGTCATAGGGTCAAGTCACACAAATGGCTCCCACAACCCATCTGGCTTCTCGTACCACACTCGTGTCACTTAATACCGACCTGAAATTCATTAAGCAACAAAGACTATGATTGTTTGATCCAGGTTATTGGGTACTTAGCAACTACCGTATATCTTGATGCTCCTGTATCGCACTCTCGTTTATTCACACACTTGACGGTTTTTTTTTTTTCATTAATGACCCATTTTAATGCCGACAGTTTACAAAAATATAATACGATTAAAAAAAAAAGAAAAAAATAACCAGATCACTATAAATTCTAAGTCTAGCAATTTTGCAAAAAAAAAGGAAAAAGAAAACAAAATTTTCGAAATAGTTCTCAACGTTCAATAACGTTAATAATATATCGGTAGTCTCTCGATGTTATTTAATATAAAACTAAAAATTTATCGGTAATCTCTTCTCTCAAATTTTACAGCGTTTATTTCTAAAACAGATGAAACATGTAAATAAGTAAACGACTGTAAATTTTGTTAAATATCTAATTCTTCACATTTAAAGCTATATTATACAAATTTTGTATCACTGAATTGCAATAATAGGGTTGCCACAAAAATTTAATTTTGTTTTTCCCTGATTTCCAGATAAAATTTTGACCATTTCCCTAACCCACAGAATATTCTGATTTACACTTAAAATGACTAGATACTCAAAAAAATGTTTTATTACATTTACGAATTTCTTAAAATGTAAAATTATTCGAAAACATCAATTTCTTTTTTCAATAAATATTTAATCATTATTTTTCAATGGGAATTAAGATTTTCAAAAATTTCAAATTCAAACCTTTTTGAAATTCAACAACTTATAAGAATTTCAAAACATGAAGAAGACGAGTCAAAGACTCGAGTGATCGCCTTCTTCATGTTTTGTAATAATTTTAATTACCATAAAATTTTCTAAACAAAAGTTAATTATTTACAAACATCCTAATAAAATCCTTCACAAGAATTCAATTATTTTTACAAGTAGTAAAATTTCTCAAAAAAAATTCAATTATTTAAAAAAATGTACCTAATAAAATCCATTGCAATAATTCAATTATTTTCATAAATAATAAATCGATTATTCGGTAGTTCATTTTTAAATCAATTTTTATTAGAAAATTCTAGAATAATTGAATGTTTGTTAAAATTGAATTCTCATAAAGAATTTTATCAACAAATTTTTAAATAATTGAATTGGCAAATTTTAATACAATTTTTAAGAATTACATTTTTCGAAAAATTCTAAATATAATTTAGAAAATAAAAATTTCAAATAATTTTAAAAAAATTCAATTAAACTTTTTCAAAAAAAAAATAATTTTACAGAATTTTTAGTTAAAAGTAAAAAAAATTCAGATTTTTAAAGATTTTAATTTGAAATCATTTCAAAATTCAATTATTTCTAAAAATTCACGCTATACTGCTTTTGTTATTCGATTTATATCTAAAATTTTAACTATAATTTATTCTTAAGTCAATTTTTATTAGATAATTTTACGAGAATTCAATTATTTAATTTTAAATACAAAAATAAATAATTTATTGAATAATTGAATTCCTTTAACGAATTTTAACAAAATTTTTAAGAATAATTAGATTTTTCGAGGAATTAGATTCAAATTGTATGAAAACTAACTGAAATTTTGCGATGAGTTTTATTATTTAGGTATGAAAATAATAATAATGCTATTATGATTTTAATACTCAATTGTTATCTAAAATTTTAACTACAGTTCATTTTTAAATCAATTTTAATTAGAAAATTCTACGAGAATTCAATTATATAAATACAAAAATAAATAATTTATTGAATAATTAAATTCATTTTTTTGAGGAAATTGATCAAAATTGTATTAAAAATAATTAAAATTCTGCGTTGAATTTTTTATTATTTATAAAAATAATTAAATGTTTGCGTAAAATTTTATTGAATTTGTTTTTAAAGTAATTGAATTCTTTAGGAAAGTTTTAATAAAATATTAGATATTGAAAATCATTGAATTTAGGAAAATTTTTTAATTTAATTATTATTTAAATAATAATAAAATATAAAAATACATATTTTATTAAATAATTGAATGTTTCTTAAAATTGAATTCTCAAAGAATTTTATCTACCAATTTTTAAACAATTGAATTCTTTTGACGAGTTTTAGTAAAATTTTTAGAATAATTACATTTTTCGAGGAATTTGATTAAAATTGTATTTTTATTATTTATCAAAATAAATAAATGTTTACGTAAAGATTTATTAAAATTTTAATTGAATAATTGAATTCTTTTGGAAAATTTTTAAAAATAATTGCATTTCTGCGAAGAATTTTACTACTTTGAAAATAATTGAATTTCTGCGAAGAATTTTAATACTTCTGAAAATAATTGAATTTTTTTAATCATTTGTATCTTTCCAAATTCAATTTCTTTTAGTGTTTTTAACTAAAATTCTTATATAAATCCATTATTTTTAATAATTAATTAAACATGAGTTAAAAAATTAACTAATTTTAAAAGAATTTGAATTATTAAAACTTCTTAAAAATCTAAGTAGTTTAAAATTACTGATTAAATTAATTAAAAACTGGAATTTTATAAAATTTCAAATTAAAAAGTTTTGAGGTTTATCTATTTATGAAAATAGTAAACGCAATTCTTTTAAAATTAAAATAATTTTGACACATTTAAGTAAAATTATTCATTAAATAATTTATAAGCAATAATTTTATGATAGTTCTTGAAGAATTAAGTTATTTAAAAAGAAATTATTGTCAGAAATAGAAAAAATTGATGGTTTTGTATTAGAATTTGTGGTAATTTCATAGTTTATGAGGCAAACAAGAAAGACACCAAAATGCAGAATTTTCTTATAAATTCTAAAAATTAAATTTTTTCTAGTACTTTTTATAAAAATCCCTAACTTTTCCCTGATCTGTGGCAACCCTAATTAAATTAATAAATAATTTTAACATTCCAAATGTATTAAAATTCCCAAAAGTGATAGTTTTTCACATATGAGAAAAGTATTTCAGTGTACAAAATTTATTTTCGACAATCTCAATAAGCTCTACTACCATCAATTCGTAAAAAAAAAATTCTTGTAGTATCGTGTCATATTTTTGCTTACTGTCTGCACGCTAGTATAAATCTTTAAATGAAGGACGTTCGAACTTACGTGGTGAATAAGAAGGAGTCCTTGACCTATCGTAACGAGAGCGTTTTCTATAATAAGGACTCGGCGAACGACGATAACTTCCTCTGTTACTATTCCTGTAAAGAGAATTTCAAAACTTTCACCAAAACCGAAATGCCGTAATTTTATTCCTCGCTAGGTTAGGTAGACAATTGTTTCTTGTTTTAAAAACAAGAAATTGAAATTGAAAACTGTTTTTACAGTTTAGGGATAAAATTTAAATTTAATTAAAATTCAAAATTTAAAATTCAATTTCCATGTTTATAAAAGTAGAAACATAAACTATCAACCTAATCTAAGTGAAAAAATAAAATTACGGCATTTCGGTTTTGTAAATCAGAACAAATAATCGGAAATTTTCGTACTCTCTGCGTCTGGAACCGGAAAATTCACGTTCATTGAGATGCGTAGGTTTTCCCATGTAGATACCAGGTGTTGGTGTGTGCGCCCTTTGAGTGATGGAAAAATCAACTCTTATACGTCTACCATCGATTTCCATTCCCGTGCACTGTTCCTTGGCAACTTTAGCATCCTCCGGTGATTCGAAATAAACGAAACTAAATCCCCTCGATCTTCGTGTCTACGATGGAATAAATAGAAGAAAAAAACATTTCATTAATCATTTTGTAAACTATTTAATTTTGTCGAAAATAAATAAAAATAAATAAAATAAAATAAGTTCGGCCTCACCAAAAGAATACAAATTTTCTTCTTTTCTTAAACAGCTAAAAACGTTAGTTACATGATAAAATAATAACAGAGCGGTAATAAAAATTTTTTTATTCTATTTTGTCGCCAGAGGCCTTTAACATTATGCGTTGTCTTCATAAGCGAACGTTCTAAATCTCTGGCTTTTTTTTCATATACCCTTAGATTGAATTTAAATCCAATGTGAAAGGAAATAAAAAATTTTTTCGAACTAAGGGGTGTACAGGGCTCGAAGCAGTGAAAGTATTTAAAAATACGGACTTTACGGATCAAAAATTAAAAATTACGGACCAACTGACAAAAAGAGAATCAGTCCGAATCAAATAAGAGAACATTTTATTTAAAATTAGAAATTCAATTTTTCATAACTATAAATATTAGAAAATAGAAACTAAAAATAATATTAAAAAAACTCAATTAAACTTTTTCAAAAAAAATTAATTACAAAATTCAATTATTTTTTAAAATTCACGCTCTATTGCATTTAATATTCTATTATCTAAAAGTTGAACTGAAATTCATTTTTATGAAATGAAAATCAATTTTTATTAGAAAATTCTACTAGAATTCAATTATTTAAATACAAATTTAAATGCAAAATTTTAATAAAATTTTTAAGAATAATTACATTTTTCGAGAAATTCGATTAAAATTGTATTAAAAATAATTGAAATTCTGCATTGAATTTTATTATTTATGAAAATAAATGAATTCTTGCGAAGAATTTTATTAAAATTTTCAGAAATAATTAAATTCTTCTAAAAAATTAACAGGAATTCCATTATTTTTAAAAATTTTGATAAAATTCTTGACATAAATTAAAAACAACAAAATTTTCAGCAGATCTTCAATTACTTTAAGAAATTTTAATAAAATTTTTCGCAAGAATTTAAATATTTTCGTAAAATAATAAAAATCTTTGCAGAGATTCAATTATTACGAAGTTGAAGTCCACAACGTTGATCAACGAAAAAAATTTATTTAATGCAATCAAGTATTATTTTTAATTAAATATTTAATTGTAAAATAATTATTATCAAAACATAAATATCAATCCTTTTTTTCTAAATATTTTTTTTGTCAATATTGCTGCGTAATTTTTAATTAATTTACTTAGTGAACAATTTTTTTCGTTGATCAACGTTGTGGACTTCAACTTGGTCAATTATTTTCAAAAGACTTAATAAAATTCTTCGCAAGAATTCAATTATTTTCAAAAAAATCAGAATTTTAGCAGAAATTCAAACATTTTAGAAAGTTTTGATAAAACTTTTTTTGGGAGAAATTTAATTATTTGTAAGACAATTATAAAAAAATGCCTCGATAAAATTCAATTATTTTTAAAATTTTAATGAAATTCTTCGAAAGAATTCAATGATTATAATCTAAGATTTTAACTGAAATCTATTTTTAAATCAATGTTTATGAGATAATTCTACCAGAATTCAATTATTTAAATACTAAAATAAATAATTTATTGAATAATTGAATGTTTCTTGGAATTCAATTCCTATTAAAAATTTTATCAACAAATTTTTAAATAATTAAATTCTTTGGACGAATTTTAATAAAAATTTTTTCAAGGAATTCGATTAAAATTCTATTTAAAATAATTGAATTCTCCTAAAAAGAATTTTATTACTTTTGAAAATAATTGAAATTTTGCAATAGATTATATTAAAATTTTTGAAAATAATTGAATTAAAAATAATTGAATAATTGTTTGTTAATTATGAAAATAATTGAAATTTTTTAATGAATTTTAATAGAATTTTTGAAAATAATTGAATTTTATCGAAGAATTTTGCTATTTATTTATAAAGATAATTGAGATGTTGACAATGTTTTTTAGATTTTTTGAAAATAATTAAATTTCGGAGAAGAATTTTAATATTTTCTAAAGATGATTCAAATTTTGACGAGAATTTAAAAAAATTTTTGAACATAATTGAATTTTTGCGAAGAATTTTATTACTTTACGGACCTTTTTTTTTAAAAAAGACGGACTTTTACGGACTTGAAACAAAGTTACGGACTTTTTCAGAATTTACGGACCTACTTCGAGCCCTGGGAATATTTTTTTTTTTTAAATAAATTATTGCAGTGAATTAATTGAAAAAATGAAATGAATGTATTACCTTGGCATCGATCACGACTATGACACGCTTTACTGGACCGTACTTGGAGAAGATGTGGTAGATCTGTTCCTCCGTGGTGCAAATGGACAGGCCAAAGACTCCCAGGCAACTGGATGGGCAGGGGTTATCTCGGTTTCCAACGTGACGTCTTCTAGATGACATAGGACTGCGAGAGTGTGAACGATATAGATTTCTGTCTTCATCGCGCGAATAACGCGAGCGTGAGTAAGATCGAGACCTGCTGCGTGAATAGCGTGATGCTCTGTACGGCGATCGACTCCGGCTGCGACTCCGATGACCACCACCACCGCCACCACCATACTTGTTGGCACGATAATTTTTTCTTCCTCGCGATGGGGAACGACTGCGGGACCTCGAGTACTCCTTCATTGGCCTGTGAGCTTCCTTCCTCTCGCGAGATTTCCTTGATCGTGAACGTGAACGCGAATCCCTGATGCCCTCTGCTGTGCGTGCTCTTCTCGGACTTGCACTCCGACTTCCACTCCTCTACAGTTTTTAGAATACGTAATTAATATATAATTCGTAAATTTATCAGAACTAAACAATTTTAATAAATTAAAAACATTCATTCAATTTTCAAATATAGAAGAGAAATCTCAGGTGAAAAAAATTTCTGGAGATTTCTCTAATCAGGGTTGCCACAAAAACTTAACTTTGGTTTTCCCTGATTTTCAGACAGAATTTTGAATTTTTCCCTAACCCTACAGAATATTCTGATTCACTCTAAAAATTATTAGATACTCAAAAAAATGTTTATATAAGAATATTGTTACTCTAACTTCTTCAAAATTATTTTCATCATTTCAATTCAACTATTATTTTCTGGAATTTTTAACTAAAATTCTCCTTAGATCCATTATTTTTAATAATTTTTTAGAAATTTTACGAAATTTTAATTATTTGGAAATTCTTCAATTAAATATAATTTAGAAAATAAAAATTTTAAATAATTTCAATAAAAATTCAATTAAAATTTTTCTAAAAATTAATTTTACAAAATTGTTAGTTAAAAGTAAAAAAAAATTCAGATTATCAAAGATTTTATACAATTAATACAATCATTTCTAAAAATTCATGCTGTAATACTTTTAATATTCAATTATTAATTGAATTTCAGTGAAGAATTTTGTTAGTTATCAAGACAATTGCAATAAAACTTTAAAAATAATTATATAATGTTAAAAAATGCATTCTTATCAGAAATAAAAACAAATCTTGAAGGTTTTGTACTTTTAATAAAAATCCCTGAATGTTCCCTGACTTGTGGCAACCCTGTCTTTAAATAAAAATAAAGAGGGTTTTAAATTCAGATAAACAAAAAACTATTTATAATACTTAGGGATTTAAAAAAAAGCTTACGCAAAATTCCATTCTTTCGAAATTTACTCTTGTTATCTTCTTGTTTAGATAAATCACTATAGAAACTCGACTCTTGACGTAATCGATTAAACACCATTTATTTAATAACACTCAGTCTAATGTTTTCTCTTGGAAAAAATCAGAAAAAACAAAAATTCATGTCAATTTTACTCGTCCGTCACGAGTATATAAAATAAACTTACACGTTTTATTTTTATCGTTTTAAAGAAAACATTCATAAACATAAGACAAATTTTACGCAATGTGCGTCCAATAATGATGTTTATCGAACAAATTACAAATCAAACGTAGTGTAAAATACGACTGAAAAATAAAAAAATGTATACTGCCAAAAAGATAAACAGGAAGGGGCCATTGGGAGGGAAAAAACAATCAATACTCTCATACGGAAGGGGGTGAAAAAAACTGTTTTCAAAAAGCAGTTTTATCAGTAAACATAAAAAAAAGTCATGTCATTCGTTATAATAAATTCGTTCATTAAAATGTATTGCCACGTTAATATGTTTTTAACGATTAACAAATTTCAAACAAACAAATGAAAATCTTATGTAATTTTCCAAAATCTGGTGCAACTAAAAAACTAACGGAATGAAAAATAATTATTTCAAGACTAATTATACAGCGTGTAAAATGTAGGCATTTTGTTTTTTTTCTGAGAATAAAAATAAATTTTGCAGGGGATATTAGTTCGGATCGATAACGGTTCAGTTTGATCACATGCAAAAGTCATACCAGAGAATAAAAATTCTAATATTAAATGTTATAAAACTCACCTCCATATCACTCATTTCCCAAAGACAATCAAAATCCAATTAATACTTTATAAAATATATTATTACATTTAACTCGATACTTTTATCGAGAAATCAAGCGTCGTTAAACTGTAATGGCGACTACAAACTGGAAGAAACACTCGTCCCTCTGTCCCTTCCTCTATGATACTAATAAAACATGTTACCAACCGTTGCTAAGTAACCGTTGGCAAGCCTTTAAGCGCGCAACTATTTTGAATTTTAGAACCAATAATATAACTCTCAGAAGACAAAACTTTATTATTTTCTGAAAAATTTGATCGTTTAGTTTAAATTACCTACTACAATTAATCATTCTAGTATTAATTGCAATATTAACAATTGGATTAAAATCAAACTTTCTATTTTCTATTTCAAATATTTCACTTTTTTAACAATTTCCGTTGAACCACCGGAAATGAACCAAGTAGATGCGTGGAATGAACAGGTTTTGAAACTAGTTTGCGCAATTATCAGATTATCACATACGCCAAGCCGCTGCAAACGTAGTTGACGAACCATTTTTCTGTCGTCAAACGGATCAAGCTTTTTGTGAGATTTGGATCAATCACAAAAAGCGGGATTCGCTTTTCGCATAGGAATTGGCCTGCCACTGGAGCCAGCTGATTTGTTAAAAGTCGTCCACAAAATTGTGAGTAAAAGTTGATGACTTTTTTTCTACACCTTGTTGCGGTCGATGTGCTCCCAACACCGGCCTCTGTTGGGGCGTATATATTTTCATTTATTAATTTTGTCTCCTTATTATCAATTAATAAACATACTGTTCATAATCTCTATATGATATTATAATATAATTCATAATTCCACAAATATTATGGTACATCTTTTTTTCTATTACAAAATCAATCAATTTTTTCCTACAAACAAAATATGGCCGCCGGCCGGTTCCCCTTAAAACTTTTATTTCTCATGATGAATTAATAGGATTACTTTTTTCTTTTAATTATAATTAATGTGGTTTATAAAAAAGTCGTGAGTTGAAGTTCTTTTTTTAATTAGCACGTTTCAATGACAATTGAAGAAATTAATGAGTTATTCAGGAAAAAAAATGAAGTGAAAACGTCATAAATATTTATCTTTATTTGTTGCTTGAATATTTTTTTGTGTTGCCTTTGTTCGTATTTAGAAAAATTCTAGAGGGGGATTTATTTTTATCTGTTCTGGGTAGTAAAATAAAAAAAAAGTTTGGAAAATATTTTTATTAGTTTATATTTTTATTGTTCGTGCACGTGAAGTGTTTTCCATTATTGTTGTATTAGTGTTTTTATAATTATGTCTCATGCGCTTTTGTATTACATTTTTTTGTAATAATTTTATTCTTTCAGGTAATTGCTTGTCCACTGAAGTCGTACATTCTCGAAGAAATCAATGGAGGTAAATATAATTTATTTATTGCCTGAATGCAGGGAATTTTTAATTTAGTTAAAGAAGCTAAATTTGCAGGGCCAATATAATTTAGAGAATTTTTAAGAAGTTGCAAATGATTTCGGAAATTCAATTAATTTCCATAAATAGTAAAAGTTTTTACAGGTATTCAATTATTTTCATGAATATTAAAACTCATTGTTTTAAAAATTAATTTCAGTTAAAATTTTAGATAATAATTGAATATTAAAAGCATTATTGCATGAATTTTTAGAAATAATTGCATTTTGAAATGGTTTTTAAATTTCAATCTTTAAAAATCTGAATTTTTCATACTTTTAACTAACAATACTGTTGAACTAATTTTTTGGAAAAAGTTTAATTCAGTTATTTTATTTAAAATTATTTCAAGTTTTTATTTTCTAAATTATATTTAATTTAAGAATTTCCGAATAATCGAAATTTCGTTACATTTCGTAAAATTGAATTGTAAACAAATGGATGTAAAAATTCTCAAAGAATAACTTTTTCAAAAATTATTAAAAATAATTGATTTAAAGAAGAATTTTAGATAAAAATTTAGAAAATAATAATTGAATTGAAATTATGAAAGTAATTTTGAAGAATAACATTAATAATATTCTTATGATTTAAAATAATGATTTTATCACTCGGCCATCTTTAATTATTTCACTGAAAAGAAAATTTATTTGATTCAAATAACCGATTACTTGACTATAATGAATTAAATATTTACTTGAATCAAATAATTTTCATTTCTGCCAATTAAATGGTATTTGAACCAATAATTTCAGTATTTGAAGCAAATATCATTTAATTGACTGAAATAAAAAAATTATTTGATTCAAGTAAATATTTAATTGATAATAGTCAAGAAATCTGTTATTTAAATCAAATAAATTTTTTTTTCAGTGTTTTTTGTCAGTAATTTTCAATTTTTGATCCGTAATGTCCGTATTTTAAAATACGGAATTTGTCAAGAAATGTTTCTATTTAAAAACTTTCTATTAATTTATTACACTGTAAATTCAATGTGAATTGAATTAAAATTCTCGAATTTTCAGGAAAATACGATGGATGAAATGCGACATTCCCAACAAGTTGGGACCAATATGATTGGAGGGGTGCCTAATCATTCTGCCAATTCGGGAAGAACTCGCGGTAGAAATCGCGTGACAATGCATGCTCTGATGTCTGAAGCATTGCCCTTGGATGAGGCTGCAAGATTGGAAATGAAAGCATTGCCTGGCAAGACACCTGTTTCAGTACTTCAGGAATTATTGTCACGCAGAGGCACAACTCCAAAATATGAGCTGGTTCAAATTGAAGGCGCAATTCATGAGCCTACATTTCGCTATCGTGTTACCGTTGCTGATGTTGTTGGTTTGTATATTATTATTAATCTTTTTAATTCAGTAAAATTATAATATGGTGCGATAAACTTGCCAAGGTCCACCAATTTCTTGAAAATAAACCATCGATTACAATAAAAGGATAATGATGTTAATTTATAAGATCTTTACGATTGAAGCAGATCCAATCGTTTCAGCAATGGGGACCGGCAGGTCCAAAAAGGAGGCAAAACACGCGGCTGCCAAAGCCGTTTTGGATAAATTAATCGGTGTGAATACCGAAACTGCCGATGCTCCTCTTCCAAACAGTATTCCAGAGTAAGTTTTCCCAATTATCATCATCAAATCCACTAAATTCTACAATTCTACAAAATAATAATTTATTTTCTCACTCAGTTCGCAGGGTTTGCAGGAAATGCAGGGAAATTACGGCGAGGAAAAAGTGATCAATAATCCAATTGGCTCTTTACAAGAGATGTGCATGTCCCGTCATTGGCCACCGCCGAAATATTCAATGGAAGGTGAAGAGGGTTTGCCACACGAGAGACAGTTCACCATTGTCTGTTCAATTTTAAAATATCGCCAAATTGGTCAAGGGAAGAGTAAGAAACTCGCCAAACGTCAAGCGGCCCATAAAATGTGGCAGAATTTACGTGATTCTTCAGAACAAACACAAACTGCACCTGATGATGACGAGGTATTTCACTATTTTTCAATTTAAAAAAAATGCTTTCCGCATAAAAAAAAAAGAAAAATGCTTTCTGTACATTATGAATGAAAGTAAAATTTCTTACTGTGTGAATGGTGATCGCGTACAGAAGTGGAAGTGATTTTGCCTTTTCGCCAAATTTTTTTTCTATATAAAACCTTCCTTATTTCCTAATATCTATAACGGACAATTTTTCTTTCGTTTTTAACAAAGATTTACCGTCCTGACCCATTTGTTTCGAAAAAAAAACTCAAGCTTGGATCATTTCCACTTCTTTCTTTTTATTCTATAATTTCTTATACAATTTATTTTTCTAGTATCAGCATTTTTAAGTGTACATTTGCTCTTATTCTGTCGAATTGTCCGTTATAGATTATTCAAAGAAATGCAAATTTGAGCGCTCGATATGCCGATTTGAAAGAAAGCAAAATCTCGACTTTGACAACCGCCCACAGTCACAAAGTCTCACTATTTCACAAGAATCTTAAATCTTCTACGGGTGTTAAACTGTTTGAGCTACAGGTTTGTATTTAAATGAAAAATGTTTTCTTTCAATTTCTCATTTTGTGTTCCACTTTTTTTTTCAAAAAATCCACACTTTCATTCACAATTTTATCTTTTTTAAAATTACGAATAAATTTTTCATTACAATGAATATTGTTACAGAATACATGCCTGAACGATGGTGATGTCAATTTGGTGCAGTTCTTGCAGGAAATTGCTTCCGAGCAGCAATTTGAAGTGACCTATGTTGATATTGAGGAAAAATCGATTAGTGGTAAGTACTTTTTTATTATTTCTCTGATAATTTATTATTACAAAATATTTCTTTCAGTAAAAAATAAATATTTCAAAATTAGTCGATTGTTCCTAATATTAGTTTAATTTAATATTCAGTTAGATTAAAATTGAAATAAAATATAAATATTTGAGATAAAAGTATACAAGTTTTACGAAAGTGTAAAAATAAAAATTTTATGAGCACATTTCTAGAAATATCCAGTCTCTTCAGTTACTGGAATTTGCGGTAAGAACTAAATCCACTTCATAATCGAGTTCGTTGGTAGGAATTTCCTCGCAGATTTGTTCATTAAATGCAACTGCAATCAAATGTGGCTTTCGTTCTTGAATTTTCGTGATATTTCTCAGATAAGAGTCATAATATCCTCCCCCGTGACCTAAACGTTTACCTTCACGACTAAAGGCGACTCCAGGGACAATTATCAAATCTAACCCACCTGCAAAGTGAAAATAGTGACGTATTTTAATTGAATTGAATTTTTCACTTAAAAAATTAGCATTAATTTCAAAATAAATAGGAGTTCGAGTAATATTAATAGAATTTCGAAATAATGTTCGAGTGCTTTTACAGGGTTGCCACAAGTCAGGGAATTCAGGGAAAAGTCAGAGAAAGTAAAATTGATCAGGGAAAAGTCAGGGATTTTTAGTAAAAATACTAAAAAAAATTGAATTATGAAAAAGTTACAAATAATTCCATAAATTAAATTATTTTCAAAAGTTATAAACATTTTTCGCAAAATTTCAATTATGTTCAGAAATTTAAAAAAAATTCTTAGCAAAATTTCAAGTATCTTTCTAAATAATAAAATTTTTATAAACTTGAATAAAAATCGTTTGAAGAATTAAATTGTTTTTAAAAGTAATAAAATTCTTTGGAGAAATTCAATTATGCTCAAAAATTAAAAAAAACTCTTGTAAAAATGTCAAGTATCTTTATAAATAATAAAAATCTTCTCCGAAATTTAATTATTTTAGAAAAATTTTAATAAAAATCTTGGGAAAATTTAAATTATTTTCATAAATAATAAATCTCATAGTAGGATTTTAAATATTTTTAATAAAATTTTAATCGAATTCCTCGAAAAATGTAATTATTCTTAAAAATGTTATTAAAATTTGTAAAAAGAATTCAATTATTTAAAAATTTGTTGATAAAATTCTTTATGAGAATTCAATTTTAACAAACATTCAATTATTCTAGAATTTTCCAATAAAAATTGATTTCAAAATGAATTACCAAATAATCTATTTATTATTTATGAAAAAAATTTAATTATTGCAACGAATTTTATTACATTTTTTTTAAATAATTGGACTTTTTGGGAAATTTTACTATTTGTAAAAATAATTGAATTCTTGGGAAGGATTTTATTAGGATTTTTGTAAATAATTAACTTTTGTTTGAAAAATTTTACAGTACCTAATTTAAATTATTACAAAACATGAAGAAGGACATCACTCCGAGTCGAAGACTCAGAGTGATCGCCTTCTTCATGTTTTGTAATCATTTTTTTATAGGTTGTCGAATTTCAAAAAGGGTTTGAATTTGTATGTTTTGAAGAATTTTAATTCCTACGGAAAAATAATGATTAAATATTTATTTAGAAAAGAAGTTATTGATGTTTTCGAATAATTTTACAATTAAAGAAATTTGTAAATAAATGTATTAAGAATAATTTTTTTGCGTATCTAATAATTTTTAGAGTGAATCAGAATATTCTTTAGGGTCAGGAAAAAAGGGAAAATTTTGTCTGAAAATCAGGGAAAAATAAAATTAAAAATTTGTTGCAACCCTGTTTTAAATTCAATTAAATCAAATTGATTAGAATGGTGTAAAATTAAAATTAATCAATCTTTGTTTACCAGTTTCAAGGGCATCTTCTCTTATGTCATTTTTATGCGGTTGTTTAATATTCCAACTCGTGAGGGGTAATTTTTCGTAATCGCTCATCGAGTTCAATTTAACCATTTGCATTTTCGAACCTCCATATCGAGGAACGAATACTTCCTTCTGTTTTTCAAAGAGATCTTTCAGTATACGTTTTGTGTCTATTTCATCGTCAGTACTTAAAAAGAGAGAAACCCTTTTACCTTCAATATATTGCGGCAGGGCAGTCAACTAGAAAATAGGCAAAATTTAAAAAAGAAATTAAAATACTCTAATATTGAATCCAAACCACGTTTGTGAATTTTATGTTTATAATCAATGATTTAATTGAGATTATATTAATTATTTTAATTAATATTAATATTTTTCTATTTAAATTTCTTATATTTTTGTATAATTTTTTTCATCTATAATTTAAGAAGGAAAAATTTCAAAACAAAGCATTTTATTATTTTTTCATGAAAATTATTTTTTTCCTTCAATCGTTGATTATAAACGTCAACTTTTCACCGACGTTACTAATCCTACAATTATCGAAAGGAAACTAGAAAATTAAAATTGAAATAGCTTTAAAAGAACATTGGTAAGATAGTTACAATTGATATTTAAAATATAATGATAGCAATAACAAGAACAATAATAATTTCAACTTTATTATTAAAATTTTGCCGAGTAATAGTTTCAATTATTATAAAATAATAATAATTAACTATAATAATTATAATAATAGTCGTAAGAATAATAATAATAGTAATAAATAGTAATAATAATATCAATAAATGATGATTATTATCATAATAAATATAAATAATATAAATAATCATAATAATTTTGAAATATAAATTTAAAATTGATAGAAATTGATAGAAAGTTTTACAAATAATAACGTACATTTTAAACATATTATTAAATGAGCATTTAATTTTATCTTGATTCTATATAATGAAAATATTTTCTTGTTAAGCTAACCTGTAAAATATATTTACACGCTTCTAAAAATGAAAAAGGAAAGTAAAAACAATACTTACTTTTTGAAAAACTTTTTCTCCTTGTTTTGTTTTTTCCTGTGAGTCAATTGCTTTTAAAATATTCTTTATTGAATCTCGAAGATTCTTTTTCGCTAAACTTATTGCCATCGTGAATGAAAGCTCTCAGACGATATTATTCACTGCGCCGACTCGTTTAGAAATGATGACCGGTTTCGCAACAAAGACGGAAGAAACATGTGATACTTTTAAATGTATTAACTGCCATATTTCCTTGTATGAGAAATTAATTTCTGAACTTTATATTTTTGTTTTCGTGTTATAATAAATTAGTTTGATAAATTAATTTGCAAATAATAAATTATTTGCAATAGTAACTTTTATTGATTAAAATTTAAATTACAAAAGAGGAAATTAAAATACATTAATCGTTTTTTAAATATATCGTAATTTTTTTGTAATTTTGCTATCAAGCTGAAGATTATTTTAACCTTTGATGAACTTTATTTATTTTTAAACATTTTGTAAATTATTTTACATTATTAATTATAATTAATTTAATTGCTTTTTAAATGTCTTATTAATTTAAGACTAAATAATAATAATAATTGATAGATAGATAGATGGATTAGATTTGAATAAATCAGAATTGTTCTAAATATTTATTTTTTTCGCAGGCAAATCTCAGTGTTTGGTACAGTTATCAACATTGCCTGTAGCAGTGTGCTACGGCAGCGGTGTGACCAGTAAAGATGCACAAGCGAGTGCCGCTCAGAACGCTTTGGAATACTTGAAAATAATGACCAAGAAGTGAGCCAGCGCTTTGCTTCTGCCAATCGTCGCCACCAACAGTAAGACCAACAATACGTTACTTTCAAAAAATCATAACAATTTAAACGATTCGAAATTTTATTGCACCAGTAAAATTCGTGGTGGTGGTGCAACAAAATCACAAATCCGTTCAACAAGTAATAATGGATTCAAAAACAAAGACGCCAATTGCACAATTACATCGCGTATTCGTGTTAATGGCGTTGCTGAGAATCTAAAAACAAATGATCAACGCGAGAAGAATTCCATTTCAAATCATACCTACGACAATCTTCGGGGAATCAACAACACCAGTACAACGGCCAATCCATCCCAGGATCATTATTCAATTTCCAAGGATTACAAAAAATCCCCACTATCCGATTCAAAAAATCACGATTACAAAACACGTACATCCTTCACATCCAGATATCAAAATTCTTTTTCAAATAATCATCATCATTCTCATCATCATAATAATCGTAATGATTCAACATACAATGGAAGGAAAAATCAAGAGCAAACTTCCAAAATGACGCCAATTAATTTCCCCCCATTACGTGCGCCACAGAGTATCGTTAATGTGCGCCATCCATTTGTCACTGAATCGCGAACAAAGCACGAGAATTCAAATATCAAGCAAAAAAATTTAAAGGACACAACAACTTATCAAAATTACGGTTCATCATTAACTGGTGTTCAAAATATTAACAATATTTCTCCATATCCACGTGCCGATTCTTATCCACCACCACCACCAGTGACTAATGTCATGTTTTCCGATACTCCCCAATTTCCACAGTCGCCTTCATTTAATACACACACACCTTCATTAAATCAATTTTCAACTTATGATCCTGGGAGTTTTGCCACAACACCATTGACAATTAATCCAGTTATTCCTCAATTCTCAGCTGAGAATTCAATTCCCTATCCGCAATATGAAAATCAATTTGTCACACCAAATCATTATCCGACTGATATTACAAGCAATCAATATCAATATCCAACAAGTGTTAGTCAAATTCAGGAATCGCCGCTTTTTATTCAAAGTCTTCATAGTCCAATCGCTGTGACTGATCAGTACGCTGCGCCAAATTATGCCGGAGCCGTTAGAACTGAATTAATCCCACGATTGAGACGACCGCCTCGATATACAAAGTAAATTTTCAACGAATTGCGTAGATTCTTGTTTTTTTTATACACCACACTTGTGAACCGTTGATCGTAAATAAGTTCAATGTTCTCTCATCGACTTAATTATCGACTTTGGAAATTATTGAATTTATTTACGATCTAATTTGGTGTTTTTTTCGAATTTCTACTTCCAGTCGAGTTGGAAATATACATTTTTTCTAATAATCGAAAAACTTTGATCAAATTTCGATTTTTTTCTAAAAAATGAAAATCACAAATTTCTCGCTGATTGCAAATTTGTTTCTAGATTTTTCTCAGTAATAATAACGAATTATTACGTACATTTTTCTTTTCTTTTTTTGGGATAATTTATCATTTTCTCGGAAAAGTTCGTTAATGACGTTCGATTGCCCTATTGTTGCTCTACGTGAGAGATGCAGTGAAAATTATTTCAATTTCAGATCCATTTTGAAATAGATTTTACCTAATCTCGTGTCCCACGACAAGCCGGAGCATCAAAGAGTCACCGATTTGTTGACGAACTTTTACGAGATCTCAATCATTTTCAAAAATATTTTCAAATTTCTCTTTCTTTCCCAAACTGGTTTTTCTTTTGTTGAGACATGGCAGAGCACTCAAAAAAAAAATTAAAAAAAAGCAAAACAATATTCCCGAGTGCAGTGTCTTTATTTCTATAACAATCAACTCGTTCAAATAAATTGTACATAATTTACAAAAAAGAAAATGTGCATTATCTCATCAAATTGAATATTTATATCTGCGATCTGAAAAAGGAAATTTCCTTTTCAAAAAAAATGTGCAGCTGGTTAAAATGTAGCGAAAGCAAGAGAAAAAAAAATCGAAATATTTCAGCGAGAAAATGAAATGTTTCGCAAAAAATAAAAAGTTCTGATAACGTGAATAACGTTAAAAATAACCAAAAAAAAAATTTAAGTTCACTGGACTACTCGATAAAGCTAGTGTTCTGAAAAAAAAACTTTGACAGATATAAAAATTAGAGTATTTGACAAATTACTCTTGACATGGTATTACTGTTGAGGTATTATTACTCTTGAATAAAAATGGTAATTACAAGCTATACTTTGCATAGAATTAGTGGAGGTTTTCCAATAATTCAATAATACGTAGATTTATTAATATGTTTTTGATTTTTTCTTCTTTGACGTACAAAAAGCACAAAATTCGCCAAATCCCCGAAAATTACAAACTTAAAGTAATTTAAAAACACTAAAAGGGGGAGTTGTTTTTTCGGAAAATTATATTTTCTCCAAAAAAGAAATTATATTTTCCAAACAAAAGAAAAAAAAATATTGTGCATATTTGACGTCAAAGAATATTGCTTACCGACTACTATACTCGCGCTAGTTATAATGAAAAAAAAAGTAATAATAATAGTGGTGTATGTTTTTCCTTTAGTATAGTAGCTTATAAACTCATAAGCATCAAGTATAATATCCGTAAGATTAATCGTTAAGGACTTCTCGTTAAAATACTTTTCCAACAAATTTTTTATTTCTTTAAAATGTGAATCGTAAACGACTCGTGGTGCATTGAATTTCGAGTTGCCTATACGAATCTTAAAAAAACACCGAATGGAGACTTTTTTTTAAATTGAAAAACAACTGGAGAAAATCCTAAAAAAGAGACAAAAAAAGATCAGTTTTCAGATTTGAATTCAATTTTCAATCTGAAAATGTTTACGAGAGTAGGGGCAAATTTTGCAACTCTTGTCTGTGTCAATAAAGACATGAATCGAAAAATAAAACGAAAATTAAAGAAATATTCGATAATTCCGAAATAGTCGTTTAATTTCAGTTAAAATTTTAATTTTAGACTTCATTTTTTTAATAGAGTTTAAAAAAATGATTCAACTCTCGTTTTTAAAAACCTCTCGATTCTAGTCGGAGCGTATTGTTTGATGCATGAGTTTGGAAAATAGGCATTATTTACATGCAAAGTATAGTGTGCAACGCAATCAAGTGTTTTCTAGAGTCAAAAAGGAAAAAAATATAATTTTTTTTTCTAAATTTTCTTTTTTTAATTAATTTTTTTTTTGTAGAATCTCTTAGTTTCTATCTTTCTCGAAGTCATGGTAGTTTATCGGGTTGGAATAAAAATAAAAATTATTTTAACCAGGTAAACTAAAATGCCTTGTCAGGAATTTTTTTTTGTTCAAATATACAAAGGTTTTTTGGAAAGTTTCTCAAAAAAATTTTGTATATATTTACAAGGGAAAAAAAAATTATGTACAATAGTTGATAAGTAGTGTAGGAAGACAATTAATTAATTTCGATTGCATTTTTTAGAATAAAAAAGAAAGGTTTAAACAATTTTTTTTAATAATGCAATCTTGCGTCTTGAATTTAATTTGGAAAAAAAGCATGATTACGTAATTAAATTAAGAGAAAAAAAAGAGACTATTTCACTATTTCAAAAAAGTGAAATAATTCCGTGATATTGTAAACCGAAGAAATAGACGCAAAAAGGAAATAATTGTAAACATTTTTAAAAGGAAAGAAAAAACGAAAACCATTTCAAATTTGTCAACAAAGTACAAAAAAAAATGTCAGAATAATTTTATAAGTGATGATAATGTGATCGGAAGATTTTCCCCAAAGTGATGTTTTTTTTATTTTATATTTTCTCTAAAACTCTTTGACAAAATGAATTTTTCGAAAAATTATTTGATATTATTTTACGTTTAAAAACAAGATTTATTTTATTTTTTTTAATCACCATGTTTATAAAAAATCATTTATTTTATCTTGCAAAATCTTTGAATCACTTCAAGATTTTCAAAAATGATTGAAAATTTCGAAAAATGTTTAATGAAGACATTCGTATAAAATATAACATTTTATGGAAAGCGACATTCATTTATAATGGCTTTCGTCATTATTGATCAATACAAATAATGTATTAACTATATAAATTGTAGTGATGAAATTTTCTAAAAAAAAAAAAAAATTAACCAATTTATCTATAGATAAGCGAGAAAAGTTTACTATAGGGTTTGAAATGTTTAAAATGACTCTGAAAAAAATGTAACTTTCTAATATTTTAATTCTCCTGTTAATTAAATTAATTGTAACATCGATTTAACTGTATTTTATAATTTACACTAAAGTTTGAAAAACTTAATGCGATAAAATACTTTTAATTGTAAATTAATTACAAATGTAATTGAAAATTGTAATTTTTTCTATTTTGTTTTTTTTCAATTTTTTTTTTTAACTAATATGAATTTTGCAATTGTTTGCAATTTGTGTGTTTTTTGTACAACATTAAAATACAGTTTTGTGAAATAAATAAATTTCACATTTGTGAGAAAACAAATTCATGTTTATGGAAATTTGAAAAGAAAAAATCAACTCACAAAGAAAAATATCACCCGGAAAGATTTTCTCAGACTTTAATTATTATTAGCACAGATCACTCAAAGGGATAAAGTAATGTGAGAATCCCATGAAATCTTTTGTATATGACAAATGGGTTGTATTTAAAATTTTTTCAGGGTCACTTCCTGCTTTTACCATCTTTGTCATTCTTTTTTTTTTTTGTTTACCTAGATTTCAGAAAAAAATTCTTTTTTGCATGTCAATGAACGAAAAGTGACAATATTTGTCCTGATTTCAAATACAAATTTCATTTTACATTTATCCCTTTTGGTTGTCAGAAAAAAAATTTTCCCTGCGATATATTGTGTTTGTTTTGTGTTTTTTTTTACACTTTTTATACGCAATTTTTCTCTGATAATATTGAAAGTAGAAATGTGAAAATAATTTTTTCGAGACAGAAAAAGTAAATTGTAAAGTAGTTGGGAAAAAAAACCGTACAGAATTTACATAA